TGGTTTTCATTGCATATCTCATGAAAAGGGGCTTAAATAACAAGAGATTGATCCGGGCTCTCCAGAAGTTGAGGTGGGGCCCAGCTGGTGTTACTCCAGTGGCTCCAGGACCCCCTGACCTAGATGCTTTCTGTCTGTCTGCTGTTCTGGGCTGTTTGTGGCATCCACAGCTTTTGGCTTAAGCATCTAAAAGGTTGGAGTTGTTGTGTCCTGAGACGGGGAAGGCTGCAGAGGAGAAGATTAGTAGGAAGGTCAGGGGTTGACACGTCACATGTGAGGTGCCTGTGAGATACCCAAGTGGAGATGTGAAGTAGGCCATTCAGTAGGAGCCGGAGTTGAGAGGAACAGGCTGGGCTGAGACGTAAGTGAGGGAGCTGTTGGCGCCTGTGTGCTCTCTCCAGCCAGAGACAGGACGAGATCAGGGAGGGAGAGTGAACGAGGGGAGCGAGGCAAAGCTCAGCGTGATGCAAGTGTGACCCAGGGGGATAACAGCGACACTCACTGCAGAGCGCCCTACGCAGTCGCTTCCCAGCGGTTTTCTCGTGTGGATTGGATGTCTCCACAGACGTCACCTTACTTGCAAGTAGTCCATTGGGAAATGGTTATGAAGCTGCATAATGGAGAAGTCAGGGCTCGTGGCCATTTAGATTATACCTGCAGTTTGGGGGTAGGCTTTCCAGTAAAGGTGGTTTTAGCTTAGTTTTTAGTTTCCCTAGGAAATATGTGTGTGATATCTTAAAGCACCCATGAAAGTCAGATTAATTTAGAAGGGACCCAGAGAGTCCAAGGGGACTTTTAGGGGATGGTCTCACCGCATTTGAAAGGTCTTCGAAAGGCCTGGGGGCTGCAACTAGGCTGGAATTTGAGAGTATGTGTCCTAGATGGTTAGTGTGAAAAGATGCGTGGTCCCGGAGAGGCGCACTGATGCGCGGACCCATCGGGAACAGGAGAGGCACCATGGAGAGCTGGCAGGGTTTGGAGGATCTTCCTGCCCTGGTTAGCAAGGCAGAAGACTCCATCAGCTGGTGTGCTTGACTTGGCCTGGGTGCGTAGGACTTGGGGAGCTCTTTCCCCACTCCCTAGCCTCTCACCACCAACTTGAGGAAACTACATAAATGCTTCTGAAACAACTAACAGCAGTGGAGTTGCGTAGATGTTGTTTGGAGGCCCGTCATGTGCCATGCTTGCTGTACATGCAGGTAGATCGGTGCTCTTTCTGCAGGCGCTCAGCTACGTGGTGCAGACCACGGTTCACAGACGAGAGCAGCCCTGAGAGATGGAGCAGCAGGGGACACTTCATGGAGAAGGTGGGACACACAGGTGAGCCCTAAATGCCATGTGGGATTGAGATGGTCTGGCAGGGAGAAGAGAGCATTTCAAATCAGGAGAACATGTAAGTGGCAGGTCTGGAGTGGGGCTTGACCAGGTTGGGAAGCGTTATAGACTTTGAGCTCTGGAGTCTGCTGCTTGACCTGAATGTTGCTGTTAGTAGCTTTGGGATCTAGAGCAAGTTCCCAAACCTTTCTCAGTCTGAGCTTTCTCCTCTATGAGCTCGGTATCACCAGCACCTCCGTCAGAATGCCCTGCGGTGACTGAGGGAGGTGGGCATTCATGCAGGATGCAGGCAGGGTGGTGGGAAGGTTGGATGGGAACTGTGGGGAAGGCCCCAAGGAGGCCTTGCTGCTTCTCTTGTCCTCATGTTGGCTTCTCAAAGCACAGCCATGTGCCGCGTGTCGCTGTAACGGTCATCAACATTGTCCCGTAGGTTGTAGGTGGGTGGTAGGCTGTACCATCTAGGCTTGTGTAAGCACACTCTGCAATGTTCGCACAATGATGCAATTGCCTAATGACTCATTTCTCAGGATGTATCCCATTGTTTGTTTTGACTGTGAGCAGTAGTTTTAGACCTGTGATTTATCTGAAATAGGGTGATGTTTCTGGAATGTCAGAAGTCTCTCGGTTTTTGGTAAAGCTTTTAGATGGGAAGCTGAGTGCAGAGAGAACCATGGAGAGGAAGGCATCATCACGTGGAGTTATCCTGACTTGGTGCTGTCCCCTGGGCCAGAATAGCCCTGGAGAGGGTCTCTGGACTGCAGGTGTCCCAGAGCGGAGTTTGCTGCTTGTCAGGAAAATTAAGGTAGCAGGGTTAGGGCGTGTCTCCCACCCTCCATCCAGCAAGCCTCACTCAGGGTGGGGGGTGCCCTGATTATGTTGGCTCAACACAATGCTTTCTGTCTTTTTTCCATTGAGTTGGGCAACTTGGTGGCTAAACCAGGAAAACTTCTAGTCAGTTGGATTTAAATGGAAGTTTTAAGGAAGGGGAAACAGTGGATTTTCGTGAGCCGTCTGAGAAGCAGACTGGCAGGTGCCCGGGCAGGGCATGTGCTGTGGGCATTGGCTCCCGGGCTGCCCTTTCTCATGCCTCTGTTTTCAGCATTCCTTCTCACCTGCTGAGTAACTGCTTTGAGGGGGTCAATAATGCATTTTAAAAATTAATTTAAAATATAATTGTTCTTATTCTTTTTTTTTTCTCAGCCTCCAATAACCTGTGCCTTCAGCCTCTACTTGGGGAGCTCTTGCTGCTCCGGGGGGGGGGGGGGGGG